CTCTCACACTGGGCATGCCCAGCCCTGATGGGGGCGAAGGGGAGGGAGCTCAGACTTAAAGTTAGGACATTGGGTTTGAACCCCAGCCCTGTATCTTTCTGGCTGCCTGGAGATGGGCCAAATGAGCACACACACACACCCCCTCCCCGCACCTCATTTTCTTGTCTGTAAAGTGGGGATAAAAATGCTTATCCCACAAGATATGCTATCAAAGAAGAGTGCTTAACACACGCAAGAACACGCAGCAGCAAACAGGGTGCTGCTCTGACCTTCACCTGCCTTGCTCAAGGCTGGTGGTGGCAGAACCCCGGGGACCAGAGCTCTCCTGGCAGCTTTCTACTCCCAGCATCACTGACTGGGCATCACTAATTGGTCTCGAGAGGCTTTATTCAGAGAAGAGAGGAAGAGGGTAGTTAGACCCCACTCTCCACCCCCGCACTGGCTCCGCACGGAGGAGACAGCATCTCCACTGTGAATCAACAGCCCAGGTGAGCGCAGGACAGCTGAGGAAGCAAGCTGAAGGTGAGGATGACTAAATAAGGAGGTAGTAGGGCTTCCCTGGTGGCGCAGTGGTTAAGAATCCGCCTGCCGATGCAGGGGACACGGGTTCGAGCCCTGGTCCGGGAAGATCCCACATGCCACGGAGCAACTAAGCCCGTGCACCACAACTACTGAGCCTGCGTGCTGCAACTACTGAAGCCCGCGTGCCTAGAGCCTGTGCTCCACAAGAGAAGACACCACAATGAGAAGCCCGCGCACTGCAACAGAGTAACCCCTGCTCGACGCAACTAGAGAAAGCCCGCGTGCAGCAACGAAGACCCAGTGCAGCCAAAAATAAATAAATAAATTTATTAAAATAATAATAATAAGGAGGTAGTAAAGGACAGAGGACAAGGCACTGGGGAGGGAGAGCTGGAAAAGCCGGGGCCTCCTCCCTCCTCAAGTTTGTCCCCCTCTGTCCTTCCTCTCTGTCCCTCTTCTCTTCCCGAGCACGCTTCAGACCCCAGCTGCTTCCTCTAAACAATTATTGGGTCAATACCATAATGGGCTGCAGTGCTGGCTATGCTGACCCGGCTTCCGCCTCAATGGGGCAGGTTCCCCTGTAAACATTCTTGGGGCACTTCTCAGTGCTCCGCACTATTTATATCATTTATTTACTGATGTCATTATTTATGTCCCAAATTGAAAAAGCAAAGAGAGAAAAGAATGGGAAAAAGAAGGGAACAGAATATCCAAAAACTGTGGGACAATTACAAAAGGTGTAACACATGTGTAATGGAAATCCCTGAAGGAGGAGAAGAGATTTTGGAAGTAAGAATGGCTGAGAATTTTCCAAAATTAATGACAGACTCTCTCTGCCACCCCCTTCCAAACTGTGAGTGCCTCAAGGGCAGAAGTCTGTCAGTTTGCAAATAACAATAACCAAAACTGTTTAGGATGACATGTATGAAGTGTTTTGTAAAAATTACATATATACACACAGACGTTCAGTTCCAACTCCAATGTGTGGAGACCTCAGGAGAGGACTTCCCTGGTGGTCCAGTGCGGCTAAGACTCCGCGCTCCCAATGCAGGGGGCCCAGGTTCAATCCCTGTAGTCAGGGAACTAGATTCCGCGTGCCACAACTAAGAGTCTGCATGCCACAACTAAGAAGACCGCATGGAGCTTCCCTGGTGGCGCAGTGGTTGGAAATCCGCCTGCCAATGCAGGGGACACAGGTTCAAGCCCTGGTCTGGGAGGATCCCATATGCAGCGGAGCAACTAAGCCCGTGTGCCACAACTACTGAGCCTGTGCTCTAGAGCCCGCAAGCCACAGCTACTGGGCCTGCGTGCCACAACTGCTGAAGCCTGCGCGCCCTAGAGTCCATGCTCTGCAGCAGGAGAGGCCATCACAATGAGAGGCCTGTGCACCACAATCGCATCACTGCAACTAGAGAAAGCCTGCGCACAGCAACGAAGACCCAACGCAGCCAAAAATAAATAAAATTAATTAATTAACAAAAAATAGAAGAAGACCGCATGCCGCAACGAAGACTAGCGCAGCCAAATAAATAAATATTTTTAAAAGAAAAGAAAAAAAAAAAGACCTTAGGAGGCATCATTTCCATCCTTACAGGAAGACCAAGCTGGAGAAACTGCAAATCTTAGATCCATCAGAGAATTGAGTTCACAGGGCAAATCCCACCCCCAAAAACTGGAGAAAAAGGAGAAAAAACCAGAATCACAACATGATTAGCCTCCTGGGGGAGCCTCTGGAGCCATAATGGGCAGAAACTCTTCTGATAGTAATTGATGGATTGCTGGAGGCTCAGTGTGGACTGGGTTGAGAGTTTAAAACTCCTAGATAAAATGTGTGTGGGTTTTATCTCCAGGAGCCTACCGGGTCTCACCCTGAAGACGGGACAGAAATCTCCTCTTGCTTCCGGAGGGGGCAGAGGAAGGGTAACCATTTCCAAACACACCCAGATCTTTGTCTGTAACAAAGTTATGCCCCCAAGGAAAACTGCTTAACCATAGTATTATCTGATCTGGGTAGAGGGCAGATTTCTGTATCCCGTGGGGGTGGGGAGTTAAGAAGGTCACAGCGCAGGCACTCAGAACCACTACAAAAATGAAACAGTTGGGATTTAATCTTAAGACTATAGCATGCTTCCCCTCCCCAACTCCATAACACACGTCAACAGGTATAATAACTAGAGTTTATAGAGCTGCAAGACAAAGAAGTTATTTAAGAAAGAATTCTTAGGAAAACCCAAAGACAATAGGAGAAAAAACAGCCTGGAACTAGAAGAAACTGAAGCCTGTGGCACCTACAAGCTGCAGCAAACATTAACAGCCCAGCTCTTAGCCAGGTTAACATAAAACCTCACCCTAAGCCCGATTACCTCAGTTCCTAGTACCAGACACCTCATGGCCAGCTTTCAACAAAACATTACAAGCCCTGCTAAAAGACAAGAAAAAACATAGTATGATGAAACAAAGCAAGCATCTGAATAAGACTCAGATATGATACAGAGCTTGGGATTGTCAGATAAAGAATTTAAAACAACTCTGATTAATATGTTAAGGGGACTAATGGAAAAAGTAGACAACATGCCAGAACAGACAGATCATGTAAGCAGAGGTAGAGACTCTAAGAATCACAAGGAAATGCTAGAAATCAAAACCACTAACAAAAAAGAAGAATGTTTTTGATAGGTTCATTAGTAGACTAGACATAGCCAAAGAAAGAGGCAGTGAGCTTGAAAATATGTCAATAGAAACATCCCAAATTGAAATGCAAAGGGAAAAAACTCTTTGCCACTTTTATTCAACGTAGTGTTGGAAGTCCTAGCCACCACAATCAGACAAGAAAGAGAAATAAAAGGAATTCAAATTGGAAAGAAAGAAATAAAACTGTCACTATTTGCAGATGACATGATACTATACAAAGAAAATCCTAAAGATGCCACCAAAAGACCACTAGAACCACCAATGAATTCAATGAAGTTGCAGGATACAAAATTAATATACAGAAATCTGTTACATTTCTATGTACTAATAACAAACTATCAGAAATAGAAATTAAGAACACAATCCCATTTATAATTGCATCAGAAAGAGTAAAATACCTAGGAATAAATCTAACTAAGGAGATAAAGGACTTGTACTTGGAAAACTATAAGATGACACAAATACAGTAGATGGAAAGATAGATTGTGCTCGTGGATTGAAAGAATTAATATTGTTTAAATGACCAAACTACCGAAGGCAATCTACAGATTCAATGCAATCCCTATCAAAATGCCAAAGGCATTCTTCCACAGAACAAGAACAAATACTACATCAAACTAAAAAGCTTTTGTACATTGAAAGAAACTATCAACAAAACAAAAACAAAGCCTACTGAATGGGAGAAGATATTTGCAAATGATATATCTTATAAGGGTTTAATATCTAAAATATACAAAGAACTCATACAACTCAACATCAAAAAAAACAAACAACCTGGGACTTCCCTGGGGGTCCAGTGGTTAAGAATCTGCATCCCAATGCAGGGGATGTGGGTTCGATCCCTGGTCCGGGAACTAAGATCCCACGTGCCACGGGGCAACGAAGCCCGCGCGTCACAACTACTGAGCTCACGCGCTTCAACTAGAGCCCGTGTACCGCAACCTACAGAGCCCACGCGCCCTGGAGCCCACGTGCCACAACTAGAGAGAAGCCCGCGCATAGCAACGAAAGATCCCACGTGCTGCAACTAAGACCCAATGCAGCCAAATAAATACTAAAAAAAAAAAAAAAAAAAAAAAATGGGTAGAGGATCTGAAAAGACATTTTTCCAAAAAAAGACATACAGATAGGCAACAGGCACATGAGAAGATGCTCGAGATCACTAATCATCAGGGAAATGAAAATCAAAACCACAATGAGATGTCACCTCACATCTGTCAGAATGGCTATTATCAAAAAAACAACAAAATAGAAGTGTTGGTGAGGGTGTAGAGAAAAGGGAACCCTTGTGCACTGTTGGTGGGAATGTAAATGTCTAGAGCCAGTCAAAACAATTGTTTCCTAAAGTTGCTTCAGGTTGCTGTTTTCTTCCCTATTGCTTTCAGTGTGGTGACGTTATTCATTTGTCATACTGTTGGGTTCATCTGTTACCGTTTGAATAACTTTGGGTGTTCCCCCTGCATCCTGGTTGCATCTATTTATTTAGTCACCTTTGGGGTATGTGAAATACTGTCATAGCTCTATGAGTCAGAGCTACACAAAAAGAGAAATTCCAATGGTCTTTCTCTTCTCCACCCTGTCTTCGTTTCCCTTTCTTTCTGCCTTGTTCACACCTACCCCCTGTAGATAACCAAGCCCGTTAGCTTCTGGTTTATTCTTACTGTATTCCTTCTGCTCAAATGAGTAGACACATGCGTATTTTATTATGTCCCTTTGAAAAACATCTTTATCTATCTTTTTTTAAAACAAGCTTCGGCCAGTTTTATTAAAGAAAAATTGTGCATGAGTTACTTTACACCAGCCTGTTCCGGCATGCTTCTAATGATATCAGAATCACCTGGATCAATGATAGCAAATGTCCATACTCTGTAGTACTTTCCACATGCTGTGCCCAATTCAATATTATTGCCACTGTAGTGATGGACACCAGTTTTGCCCAACATGGCATAATACTCTATTTCAGATTTCCTCAAGGCTGGGCAGTTGTTGGCAAGGATGACCAGTTTCGCTTTGCCGTGCCGGATTATTTTCAGAGTCCGCTTGTACCCCAGCACGTACTTTCCACTCTTCACAACCAGTTGGAGCCTAGAGTTGATCGACTCCAGTGACATTTTCATCTTCTTTGCGGCCACCATCTTCCTGCCTTAGGTGCGGGACACCCCCAGCCCACTGCAGCCACCAAGATGGCCGGAGAGCAAGAAAAGGCCATATTTATCTTGATAGACATTTCTCCCAAGAAGATACACAGATTGCCAACAAACACATGAAAGGATGCTCAACATCACTAATCATTAGAGAAATGCAAATCAAAACTACAATGAGGTATCACCTCACACCAGTCAGAATGGCCATCATCAAAAAATCTACAAACAATAAATGCTGGAGAGGGTGTGGAGAAAAGGGAACCCTCTTGCACTGCTGGTGGGAATGTAAATTGATACAGTCACTATGGAGAACAGTATGGAGGTTCCTCAAAATACTGAAAATAGAACTACCATATGACCCAGCAATCCCACTACTGGGCATATACCCTGAGAAAACCATAATTCAAAAAGAGTCATGTACCAAAATGTTCATTGCAGCTCTATTTACAATAGCCTGGAGATGGAAACAACCTAAGTGTCCATCATCGGATGAATGGATAAAGAAGATGTGGCACATATATACAATGGAATATTACTCAGCCATAAAAAGAAACGAAATTGAGTTATTTGTTGTGAGATGGATGGACCTAGAGACTGTCATACAGATTGAAGTAAGTCAGAAAGAGAAAAATAAATACTATATGCTAACACATATATATGGAATCAAAAAAAAAAAAAAGGTTCTGAAGAACCTAGGGGCGGGACAGGAATAAAGACACAGACATAGAGAATGGACTTGAGGACATGGGGAGGGGGAAGGGTAAGCTGGGATGAAATGAGAGAGTGGCATGGACTTACATATACTACCAAATGTAAAATAGATAGCTAGTGGGAAGCAGCCACATAGCACAGGGAGATCAGCTTGGTGCTTTGTGACCACCTAGAGGGGTGGGATAGGGAGGGTGGGAGGGAGACGCAAGAGGTCGGGGATATATGTATACGTACAGCTGATTCACTTTGTTATACAGCAGCAACTAACTCACTATTGTAAAGCAATTATACTCCAATAAAGATGTTAAAAAAAGAAAAAAAACATATTTATCTTGAAAACATTTTGCAAATATTTCTATAAGGTAAATTGCAAGCCTGAGATTTCTGGTGTGTGTTGCATATGTTTCTTGAATTATGCAAATTGCCTCCGCATAGTGGAGTAGGTGCTCAGTGAATATTTGGGGAATGAATGATTTCTTGGCTTGACACTAACACACTGTATGATTTGGGGAAAGTCTCTTCGTGCTTCTGGACTTCAGTTATTACAACTTTGTAGGCAAGGGAAGGCTCTTCCAGCTCTGATGTTATAGCACACCGTGATGAAGGTAGCAAGATGTACAAGCACACCTCGTTTTATTGCGCTTTGCAGACTTTTCTTTTTTTAAAATTTTTTTTAACAAATTGAAGGTTTGTGGCAACCCTGCATCAAGTGTGTCTATCGGTGCCATTTTTCTAACAGCACTTGCTCATTTCGTGTCTTTGTGTCACATTTTGGTGATTCTCCCAAAGTTTCAAACTTCTTCATGATTTTTTTTTTAACATCTTTATTGGAGCATAATTGCTTTACAATGGTGTGTTAGTTTCTGCTTTATAACAAAGTGACTCAGTTATACATATACATATGTTCCCATATCCCCTCCCTCTTGCGTCTCCCTCCCTCCCACCCTCCCTATCCCACCCCTCCAGGCGGTCACCAAGCACCGAGTTGTGATCAGTGATCTCTGATGTTACTACCATGACTCTCTGAAGGCTCAGATGATGGTTAGCATTTTTAAGCAATAAGTTATTTTTTAACTAACGTACACATTTTTAAAGACATAATGCTATTGCACATGTAATAGACTATGGTATAGTGTAAACATAACTTTTATATGTGCTGGCAAAGCAAAAAATGTGTGTGACTCACTTTATTGCAACGTTGGCTTTATTTCGCGATACAGGCTTTGCTCCAATGTTCTGGAACCCAACCTGAAATATCTCCGAGGTCTGCCTGTGTCTTTGGCCTTTTCCCTCCCCGCCTTTCATGATTCCCCCCACTTCTTGCTACCCCTCTGTTCCATCTCCATAAACAATAACACAAAAACAATAACAACCACAGTAACGATGGCTACAGCTGTTCACTGAGCACTTGCCTCGTGCACTAATCTTCAATCCTCACAAAAACCACCTGTGAGAGGAGCTGTTATGATTCCTATTTTAGGGGTGAGGAATTTGAAGCCAGGGAGGTTTCAGTAACTTGCCTAAGGCTGCATCATTCTAAATTGGGGAGGAAGACTTGAACTCTTAGCTGTCTGACGTCTGAGTGCACGCGGTCGTGCACTTGGCACACGTTTCTCCCTGTCCCCGTGGTGCATTCCTGTAAGCCTGGTTCTTAACAGATCGTTGACCAAATCTCCCATGCGGGGCATTTCCTATTCCTGGTGAATATAAGTGGCTGCTCTACTCGCAGGCCAGTCAAAGCCTTTCTCCTTCATGGCTACTCAGGTCTGTACTGGGCTCTGTGATTTTCCACAGGGGATGTCGACTTGCCTGAACTTATGTTAGCACCCAACTGGTTTTGTTCTTGCAACATTCGTCACATCCCGTGTATTAATTCTTTGGGCCACAGCTTAAGTAGCATCACCCTTGGGTTTTCAGAGGCAATGTGCCCCAAGAGCGTCTTTCTTCTTAGGAACAAAGAGGCTCGCAGCCTGGAAAGCATCCGTGGACCAAAAGGTGGCTCTGACAATGAGGACTTCCAGCCCTGGAAGAGCTGTCAGGAGAGTAGGTCAGGGGAGCAGGACCTGCCTGGCCCCCTGTATGTAACACTCAGTCAATGTTGCTTCTGTGGCTGGTTCGAGAGGCAGACGATCCCCTTTCTGCACGGGGTGAGGGAGCTTGGTCTCAGCTGCATTTCCTGTGGCTCAAGAGGCCAAGTGCTAAATGGGGTTTCACTTGTACCTACTATTAGACAATGTCCCCTGGCAAGGCAGTACAGGAAATGCACAAAAGTCCCAGAGATAAGGGGGCTCTCTCAGGACACCTCTTTTTTTTTTTATTTAACATCCTTATTGGGGTATAATTGCTTTACAATGGTGTGTTAGTTTCTGCTTTATAACAAAGTGAATCAGTTATACATATACATATGTTCCCATATCTCTTCCCTCTTGCGTCTCCCTCCCTCCCACCCTCCCTATCCCACCCCTCCAGGCGGTCACAAAGCACTGAGCTGATCTCCCTGTGCTATGCGGCTGCTTCCCACACCTCTTTTTGATGATAAATGCTGCCCAGGGCCGCTGCCTCACATAACTCCTGAGGCTCTGTTCATACAGAAGGAAGCAATTCGACTCCAATAAAGATTTGTTAAAAAAAAAAAAAGAAAAAAGATTGTACATGAAGTACTAAGAATGCTGCTCCGCTGGCCTCCATGCTGGTAGAGGCCCCGGAAATCCTGCTTCCATTTCCTGAGCCAAAACTGAAGGCTTAGTTTTGCTGAAAATGAGGAAAAGGGAGAATTTTAAGAAACGCTGTGGCCTCCAAATTCTTGCAATTCCTGCATTTTTCAAAAGGTCTTAATGAAAATTAGTACCGAAAAAATTATTTGGAAAAGAAACAAGAGAGAAATGCCCCGATCAGGTCTTTTCAGGAAATTCCAGATTAAATAAAATAGAACAGAGTCCTCTGCTACAGGACTTATCAGAGCCTTTCATATACTGAAGACTCTAAATCCAAGAGGAAGAGAGGGGCTATGTGCGCATCTGGAGCCTGTGCTCCTCAACGGAAGAGGCCGTGACAGTGAGAGGCCCGCGCACCGCGATGAAGAGTGGCCCCCGCTCGCCGCAACTGGAGAAAGCCCTCGCACAGAAACGAAGACCCAACACAGCCAAAATTAAAATAAATAAATAAATAAATTTATTTAAAAAAAAAAAAGAGAGAGGGGCTATGACATTTCTCAAACTTGTTTCACTATAGAATTTCCTTTTCCCTGTTTTTTGAAACTAACGTTTCAGGAAACACATTGGGAAACTCTGGTGTAGGAATGTGTTTTCCCCCCCAAAAGTCAACTTTCCTCAAGGATGTGCAGAAAGCATCATTGTCCCCCTCGCGTCCCTCTCAGCTTGAAGCACCATTCCGTCCCTGAGACGGCCCAGCCCACCAGACCACGGGTCCTGGAATAAACTGTAGTATTTGTTGAATTCCAGTATGAGTGGTTGCTCAGCTTGTCCAGTCTGTGTGGCTGAGATGCCTCAGTTCCCTGCTTAGTGCTGTAGCTCCCAGCCTGAATGGGGCTATCAGGAAACTGCTATAAAGGGTATGACTCCATACACTTCTGTTCTAAGTGGGGCTCTGCCCCTCCCCCCCATACCCTATGATCTACTGTACCTTTTTGCTCAAGCTTTGGCGTTAAACAGAAATGGGTTGTCATTTTGACTCTGCCACTCCCCAGCCATGCGAACTCGGGTGTTGTAAGACCCCTTCTGGGGTCTTAATTATGCCCACATTACCAGACTAGTACTAGATAAAGTATGTGATGAGCTTAGGCCAGTGCTAGGCACACAGTAGGTCTCATAAGTCCTCTTTGGTTGAGTGATCCCAGCTACGCTAATGACTGGCTGTGTGTCCTTGTGCAATGGACTTTTTTTTTTGACATTGAAAATAGAAATCTCACTTTTATTGACAAGATGGGGCCACGATGGGCAGCTCCATAGAACACAAATAAGCAGTCCCAAGACAAGAGTGTAAAATTACAGCAGACAGGTTAATATTCTTCACCCTCATCTTCTCCCTCAGCGCTATCGGCTCCAACCCCCTCATAATCCTTCTCAAGGGCAGCCATATCCCCACGGGCCTCAGAACACTCTCCTTCCTCCATGCCCTCACCCACGTACCAGTGAACAAAGGCACGCTTGGCATACATCAGGTCAAACTTGTGGTCCAGGCGAGCCCAGACCTCAGCGATGGCTGTGGTGTTGCTCGGCATGCACACGGCTCGCTGTACTTTGGCCAGGTCTCCACCAGGT